AAAGATTATAATTTTGAATATTTTTTTTCTTTTGCAAAATTTGCTTGACCTTTAATAAGATAATTTATTTTTTCATTATAAATTAAAGCGTCATATGTTTTTGCTAAAAATTTATTTTTTTAACCCTTGTTGAACAGCCAACCCAATTTTGGGTTTACGACTGCTAATATTCATCTCGGCAAACTTTTAATTTTGAACCCAATGCAGGAGACAAGGGAACTCATAGATCAAACATCGGGAGAAATTTACCGAGGTCTTTTTGATGGAACTAGCCCGTATTTGCTTTACAAAGAGAGGAAAACCACGAAAACCTCCCATGGTTAGCCTGACGACAAGGGGACTCTTACCCCGAGCCATTACAGCTTGCTAAATAATTTTTGTATTTTTTGTGAAATATGAATGCATACTTCTTTTCTGCATCTTTGGTGTGTTTTATAATTAAAGAATTTACAAAATGATGATGCAACAAAAATATTTACTCAAAAGCAAATAACAATTAGTTTTGTTTTGAAAAATATGCGTGATTTTCGTTTTCTAAAAACTTTTTTTTAACCCTAAAGCTTATTTTCTCTTGCATTAATAATCATTTTTAATTTTATTCACCGTATAATGGAAGAATCTATTGTTCTTGAGTTGGCTCCAGTTCCAACTTGTTCTGATTGATACCTAATTGTAATCATGGATAATTAAGAAAATTTTGTCATAGGTACAACGGACAAGTAACAAAAATATATTACTAATTCATACACAATTTCAATGGTCTATTTGTTTGTCTCTATTTGAATTTTTATTTTAAGTTAAAAACGTGAATGTTAAATGAAATATTATAAAATCATAGAATATAGAGTAAGAATAGAATAAAAAGAAACAAATGAATGGAGAATAGATTATTTACAATATCGATAATAATATAATATGGACAATAATAGAATATGGAATCATCAGATGGAACTTCAATCCTAATTATGAAGAAATATGCTATTTTGTGACCAAAATTCATATAACCAAAATAGCGTACCAATCGGTAACATCAATTACTGGCCAAAGAAGTCATGGATTATTTATTTTATAATGGTCTGAATCAAATTTTAGCGATTGTAGTTATTTAGTTAGAGTTAGTTTTGAGCTCTGGTTGTGATTTTTTCAATTTAAGATATCTTTCTGTTAATCCTAAATTGTTGACAATAACTTTGAATGTTAAAGATTTTTACCTTTTTCATTTTTTAATTGGAAACTCTGTGGCTTCTATGTTATCTCGAGCTCAGATTAATTTAAATTCTATGGTAATACTTTTTTTTAGTTAAAAATAAAAAAATTTTAAATCATATTTTCACGTTTTAGTCAAATGTTTTGCCCTTTTATTGAAATTAAATTGCTTTTCAGGTTCTCATTCAGAGTTTGCTCCTTACTCGTCTAAAACTCTTCAAAAAACATTTTACGGTATGTAAAATGAATAAATGTAGAATTTTTTTTCTTTGGTCTAGTTATAGGGGTGCACAACGTGCGGCTTGCTGATTGTTGATGATTAATGAAAAACTTCCTGTATTTGTTTGAAATATTTAGGGGGACTTTGAGAGATATCTAATTATTGTAGTGTACATATACCCATCGTCTGTACCCTGCCAACGACACCCAGGAACTCCAGTTTTATTTGAAACTTCTAAGAATTAAATAATTATCAAAATTTAGCTTGAATCAACGATCGAAACTTTTCTTTTCTTTTCAGCAGAGGATAAGAATTTGAAAAGGCCTTATCAAAACTAGATAAATACTTTCGGATAATTTTTTTATCAAGACATGAAATGTCACTAAAAATTTATTCATTGGTTTGATTTTTATTGTCAATTCATATTCATACTTAATTAATATTTTTTTCAGAAATGAGTGCATTATGTTTTAATGAAAATTATGTTGAAAATTATTTCACAGGTATTTATTTGTGCAAGGAAAGCAAGTTTGGGAAAGATTTTTTTTGCTGGTTTAGGTATGTGTTTTTATTGCTTATTAAAATGTCTTAAAATGTTCCCTGATCCATGACTAATCAGTTGCAAAAAAAAAAACATAAAAATTTTCCAAATTTTGTGTTATTTTTTCTGTTTATATTATAGCAGTAACATACAAATTGAGAATCTGTTTTTAAAATAAATTTTTATTTTATGGGAATAACAATGATTTTTAACAACTTTGTTACTCAATGTTAACTTATATAGTAGGTAATTAGATACTTTTTTAATAAGTAAACAAATTTTAAAAAACATTGCACTTGCAAAAATTTGAAAACAAACTGTAAATTGATCACTTACTGGCTAATTTTGACAATTAGATAGGAATGTTGTTCAAATGTCACCAACACTGTCATATATCATTAAGAAAATTACATTAAACTCATTTTTTTTAACTATTCTAGTTTTAAAATAGTAGTTAGTTTAGACTGTTTCAGATTTTAAAGAATTTGCTATTGTCTAATTATTTGCTTTTCAATTTATGAATAATTTAGGTGATTAGTATTTAGTTGTATTATTTTTCAAATGTGAGTTTTGAGAAACAAAATAAAAACTAAAATGAAAAATATCTATCAGCTTTTATTATTAATATAATAACTTGCATTTTTTGGGGTATGTTATGTTCAAACTAGTATTTGTTTTTTCCCCCAAAGTAATAGAGCAATATCAAATTCTTGCTATATAGTATATTATTTATAGTTTGTTTAATCCCTATGTTATATTAGCATCAGTATTAATTCAATAAAAATATAGATACTTGCTAAAGAAAATATGCAAAATATTTAGACCTTATATCTTGTTTTGCTATAATCTTTTTTCAATTTGTTAAACATATGCATGTGTCTTTCTTTAGAATTATTATCTTTTAATATTATAAGTTATCCAACAGTTATCCACCGTATACTTTTGCAATGTGCAGTTACAGAGAAAAGAAGTCGGAACCTACGGAAATGATGCAGCTGGATGGATATACTGTAGATTATGTTGAACCAGTGCTTGGTATTAAATTTTCTATTTTTAACTTTATTTACTTAGTTTTCTAGTTTGTATTTAATTTATATGCATAAACTCCAATAACTAAACTTTTATATTTTTACAAATTATTTTAAATAATTTGTTTGATAGACCTTCAACTGAAAAGAAAAAAAAGAGCAAATACATGATTATTACACTAAGCAACTAATCAGAAACAATTAACAAGTCAATTCAACAAATGGCAGAATTTTAAGCTTTAGCGATTAAAACTCAACTTAACATACTTCTTGATTAACTTTTCTTATTCTCGTCTATTTTGAATATAGAGTTTTATAAATAATCAGTGCAAAACAGCGCTGAACTGCACACACAGTGGAATGGTGGTCCTCGTGTAGCTTAACAAATATGTACTCTAGTATAAAACAAAATTGTTTTGGGCCAGCTAGGATAAAGTTGTTTTTTTTTTAGAAACATTTTATTTATAGCAAATGTCCTATATGTAAACTGTATTGAATTTTTTACTTACTGAAATAAATTTTTTTTTACTGATATGAAATCTGCACCATTTTGTAATTAAAAAAATTGACATTAGTTTTGTATATTGTGAAATTTGATTTAAACTAATAAGATTGGTATAAATTTTTTTATAACCATCGTTGAACAGCTGACCCAAGTTTTTGGGTTCATGACTGCTAATATTCAGCTCTATAGCCTTGTAATTTTGAACCAATCCAGAAGACAAGAAACTCCTAAATCCGTACCCCCCAGAGATATGATTTGTTATGGGAACATGAAGGACTTTGTGATTCGACGGATTTAACGTGCATCAGTCACTATTTGTTACACGGGGAGTATTCGGCTCGCGGAGATCGAACCCATAACCTCCGGTACATGGGCTAAGTGTCCTACCAACCAGGCTATCCTGGCCTTTGGTATAAATTGTCGTTCTCTAGAGTGCAATTTGATTGTGGTTTCGTTCAGTATGTAATGAAGTAATTTATTGTTCAGATTGTTTTTGTCTCATTGGCTCCAGGATCTGAGATGAATCACCAGTTAATGTTTCATAATAAAATTAATCTTCATTAATGTGATAGTGGTTTTCAAAAATTACTCGTAGTTAATGGTGTTCTAACTAGTTTTGCTTCCTTTTCATTTAATTGTCTTCTGAAATCTGTTACTGTTAACTGGAGAAAATCTGCTGCTGTAATATTTTTATTAATCTTATTGAAATTAAAGAAAAAGAATGAAGCAAATTGAACATTTAGGGCAACTTCAGTTAGTGCAGAAAAACGATGGCATCTCTGAACCAGCAACTACTTTTGTTTGAATAAAATCTCTCTTTACTTACAGGTATTAATTTATTATTTCTCTTCTCCTGCTTTGTTTAATGCTACTTCAAATTTCAGATCTTGAAGGTGGGAGGTTTTCTTTTCAATGCGGTCAAGGAAGGTGATAGACAATGAAAATGGGTGCCATCTATGGGTCATGGCTATGTACAGGGCTACCTCATAAACCAACCCCCTTATTCAACATCAAACCAGCAAAAACTCTACCATATCTAAGTTACAAGGAGGTATGTAGCAATATTTGGCTTCAAAAATTAGCTCAAATGGTTGACACTAAAAAAAAATCGATATTTTATCTCCTCTAACGTTTAGATAAAAAAACAGGGCATAAGTCCATTACATATAATTTAAAATAACACTTTAAGTATGAAGTTTCCTTATTCATAAATTAAAAGGTTTTCTTATAGTAGAACATTATTTTTTTTTTTAAATTTTTGACGTAAAGAAAGTTTTTATAAAGATCATTCTAAGAATTTTATAGCTGCCACAATTATTCAAACTTTTTATTCGTTTGTTGATTTGGCTATTTTCATACTAGCAAAATTAGTGTTATATCTTAATTTGAGAGAAAGAAACTTATGCTATTTATTAAATACAATTTCATAAATAACACAAATTTAAAATTATATTTTAAAAAAATATTCAATATTTATGTTCATGCTTTGTTCTTAATGAAATTAACGCATGCTTTCTAAGAAATTTTAGTTAGTTGTTCATACTATAAAATCTTTACTTGGGATAATTAATAAGGAATATTTCAAAGTTTATTTTTTGGGTAAAATACTAATTCCACACTTCACACAAAGTATTGCCCCCACCCCCACTTGGACAGGTTGCTACAGATGTGAGGAATGTCATAACTTTTCTTCACACCAGTCCATTGTTGTCTGCCTTGCTTTTTTGAGCACTATATTTTATGCTTGGCTTTTATTTATCTATTTCTTTTTAGAAATATTTACCTGTTGATGTTTTACCCTGGTGTGCACGATAATTGCATGTTTATTTCTAATTAGAAAGGGTTACAGAAAGAAAGCCATGTTTAGGGTATTGTGGGAAAGATAAATTATAGTTTGCTGAAATTATGTTTAAATTAGAGATGTACGTTACTGCGGTTACCAATTATGCATTATTTCGACCAGCTAATGCAGATGGATATTTAGTACAGAGCAATGTTGGCTTATTGTCAAACTCTAACCATGTCCTTATCCCATTTTTCAGGTGCTCTTTATTTTAATGATCGTGGTAGAAATGTCATGTAATTTGGCTCCTGGTCAGATAACGTTAACTTCAATTTCATGTAGAATTTTGACCCTGGTCAGATAACATGGACAGCACCATAGCTGGTTCCCCTCTTCCCAAGTTTCAACACCACAACCAACCAACAAGAGTACTTTAATTCATAAAAGATTTAATGCACACTTTGCAGCATATACACTCCAGTTGTTTTACCGACTGCCAGGTTCAAACTCATGACTCCAATTTTCCATCAGCTGTGTGAACATCTAAATCAACTGTGCCACTCATTACTTATGTTACAACTGTTGCATAAGTTGCTTGAAACAAATTTACTCCTGAAATTTAGAATCACTGATTTATACTTGAAAATTAAATTTGTACTAAGTTTTATTCAGAGTTACTTCAAACTTAATTTTTTTATGGTATCTTAACCTAGTGATAAGGGTTAAACTTATGAGAAAGCACTTTTTTTTTCAATAAATTAGTTTTTGGAAGAATAGGAACTGTGATAAAGAATGTTAAAATTTAGTATTTTTCGCAGGGCAAAAAAGCAAAACAAATTAGTAATATTTTTCCATCAGTATATTTTATTTTTTGGGTAAAAACAAAAATATTTTTTTCCGTTATAATAATTTCACGTTATTATTTTCGTTTGAAATCTAATAAACTAATGTACTTAGTTAAAGTTTAGACTGTAGGTGCTAAAAAAACATTTCCATTATTCTGTAAAGTTCTAAGTACTATTAACGAAGCAATTAATTTTTTTAAAAGTTTTAGTTGTACTGCACCTTTTTTTTCTTCTTTTTTTTTGATACATCTCTACTTTAAATATTAAGAAAAAAAACTATTCAGCCTATTGGAATCTTGATAATTTTGTAGTTATTTAGATTTATACTTTGCGAGTATTTCCTTTTATTTGCTAGTATAGTAAAAGCTGACATGTTAAGTAAATTTTAGAGAATACTTTGATTACAAGATTGTTTTTGGAAATATAAATTTATTTAGAAGCTGAGCTTTAGTTAAACCTGAAACATTTATGTTAGCTTTAGAATCATCCTCAAAAATTATTTTTCTTTCTTACACAATCCATTTTTGTGATTTAGAAATCTTTGATAAAACAATGATGGACATTATTTTGACATTTTGTTATCAAGATAAATAACAATAAAATTAATTTAATGTATAATTTTTTAAATCTTATTTTTATCTTATTTTTTAAATCTTATATTTAATTTATTTCGATCATCATTTTGCAAAAAGAAACATTTTAAACTTAATGAATTGCAGAAAAATTCCTGCAACTTCTTTCGTATCACCTACACTTTAAAATCTTCTACATTTTTAGGCATTTATATTTCTTAAGTATCTCTTTTTCCTTAATAGAGTAGTTTACAATGTAAAAATGGTATGCTTGCTTAGAAAAGTTCAACTTATATGCAATTTATATTGCTGCCTTTTTTAAACGTATGCTTACATTGTTATTTTTTCCCAGGAAATATCAGGAAAAAAAATCGAAATTTATGTTATTTATTTAAGATTAAAGTATAAATTGAAATTAACTTGGTTTAGTTTTCTAAATGTTTTACTCTGCATCATTGAAATTAAGTTTTACATAATTTGAATTTCATGTATAATATATGCCTGCCAAATCTGCTGTTTTTTAACAAGACTCCTGTAATTTACGTCTATCTCCTGTTTACCTGTACATTCTAAATTTCTCCGTATTTGTTGAATAAATTAAAAAACAATTCGGCAATAAAACATCCGCTAATGGCAAAAATACTTCTCCTATTCCTCAACAGATGGTACTATTGCTAGTACTACAGTAAGTTGAGTGCTTATAGTTTAAAATATTATAAATAATAATTTTTAAAAAAGAATTATCTTTTAGACAATATAAAGAACAAAACAATCAAAACCCTATCAGATCATTATGTAGAGTATTTAACCAAGATATTTAATGCATGTCTGTCGTTGAACTTCTTTCTTGAAATATGTAAAACTGCAAATATAATTCTATTTCCTATACCAAACAAAGATTTACTATCTCAGAACAGTTTTCGACCTATAAATTTGCTTTGCACTCTTGGTAAGATACTGAAAAGAATAGCATACTCTAGGCTCAAACGATTTTTCAGTTGTTTGCCAGATGAATAGCATGGATTCAGGGCGAAATTGGATACAGCAAAACAGTTGTTACGTTTAGTTGATTATGTTGGCAGAGGATTACACTTAAAGCAGACTTCGGCTTGTTGATACTTGATATTAGTAAAGCGTTTAATAGAGTTTTGGAGCAGAGGAATAATTTATAAATTAATTGAGCTTGAATTCCCAAAGGAAATAATAAAATTTGTTTACAGTTATTTGGCACAAAGAAACTTTCAGATTAGAATGAAAAACGTATGCTCCACGGTGAGGAGTGTAAGAGCAGGCGTACCACAAGGTAGCATACTCGGACTAATTTTATATATCCGTTTTACATACGATTTCCCAATCGACAGGAGTGATTGGAACAGCTTAACTGCATTTTATGCAGATGATACAGGTGTCATAATAAGATCAAGTAACCTGAACAGGGTTATAGAAAAACTGCAGGATAAGATATACGATAACGAGGAATGGTGCTTAGATTGGAAGGTTTAAATAAATGCTCAAGAGTCCTAACTGATCCAGAACAACAGGAAACCAATTAAAGAGCATAATGAACCAGTACTCTTAAACCAAGTGATACCAGGAGTAACTAAAGCAACATACTTAGGTCATTCACAACAGACGGACTTGATCGGATCGTGTGAAAAACGTCACAGATAAAGCCAATGCTGCAACTTTAGAACTGCAATCAATAATGTACAGTGAAAAACTGAGTTTAAACTGAAGAGGTTACTTTTCACCTCCATGATTAGACAGACCAATCATGACCTATGCCTCGCCAGCATGGTGTAACGTTTCAGAAAGTGAGTTTGGGAAACTCAGAAGAAGGCAGAACAAGATTTTAAGAAAGATAACTGGTGCTCAGTGGTATCAGAGAAATGTAGACATACACACGAACCTAGAGATTAACAGTTTTGATCACCACTTTAACAAACTAAATCGAAACTTTTTTAAGAAAGCGTTAGACTGCAAAGCCGCAAATTTTGACTCAATTTTTGAGTTCGAAAACTTAGCTGAAAATGCCTCCCTGAGGCCAGTAGCTCACTTTTTTTAACACTGACCATCTGAGTATTCACGAATATAGTGGAAAATTATTTTATGGCAATATCTCAAAATGGCCTTAATAAATATATATTAAACCATATATCATATATATATTAAGAAAAAATGCAAAAAGAAGGAAACGGACATTTAATTGTATGAAAGCGTTGACTCAAATCAACTTGATTTGTAACAAACTTGACTATGCTTTAGTAATTAGTGAACTGTGAGAATGTTGAGAGAGAAAGTGTATTGTACCTGAGATGTACAATTAAATTTTTAACAAACGTCTTACAAGAAGTATATTTCGTTTATTCTTTTTTATCTACTTATTGTGAAAATGTATCATTTTATAATATCACTTGAGCAATGT